AATAAAACGATAGGTACACTGTAGAGGAAATGTGAAAACTGTTTCACCAAGGATAGAGTATTGTTTTAATACAGTGTCACAGTATCCCAGTTTTACTGCAGTAATATTTCTCCTTCCTAAGAACAGTGAGGTCAACGACAGAACATTCCCGTTCACTGCACCTACAGAAACCTACAAAAAGAACAATAGAGCAATTAAACAGAGAAAGCATTTGTATTTTAAAGAATACAGAAAAAAAAAATACTTACAATTTCAAGACGTTGTGGACTCGCCATGTATGTGACATCAGAACTGATGATGACTGGGACAGGATGCCTCGGGTGGAAAAACATTTCTGGGTGACTTCTTTGCCTGTTTATGTTAAAACTAGAAAAAAATAGTCAACAATGTCATAGAATCAGTTGATGTTGGCATTAACTATGAAGCTGTTTTAAGTGTGGATATAAGGAGACAAACTACCTTAAAATCTTTCCATCCATGATCTGAACAGGCTGATCCCTGCAGGGTGGTGAGGGGGCTGGTGGTGCCCATCTCCAGCAGCCATCAGATGAGAGGCAGGGTTCAACATGGACAGGTCACCAGTCCATCACAGGGCCCTAAAAGCTAACAACAAATAAAAACCATGAAAGAGAAATGGTAGAATAACAAGGGGAATAAATTCTGTCCAATTATTTTTAAATCCAATCATGTTTATTAAGCACTTTGTGTTGATAACACAGCAGTTTTCTGTTAAAAATGTGGCCAGCTGCTCAGTAAGGTAAAAATCTTTCCACCATGAAGACGATGTGGAGGTTCATCCTCAGAGCTGGTTGGTGATCTGGTGGAGCCAGAGCCTCTTCTGAGACAGGAAAGTCTTTAGGTTTTCTAATTCTTCTTTCATATTAATTTGCTTACTGCAAAAATATGTTGACGATAGAAACAATGATGAACGAGTTATAACAGCAGCCGGGTGTTTAATTTCAAAGTCTCTGGCAAACTGAGCTAAATTAAAACCAGTTTATGAAGAAAGTATATTAATTCGCAACAAACAGCCTCCATGAAGTCATAACATGAAGCTGAATGATTGTTACAGTAAAAATCATAAAAGTCACTATAAAATGACTATTCCTGAATCTAACGTAAGTTTGTTTATATATTTACTGCACCGTTTATAATTAAACGAAGATAATTAGCATTTTGAAGCAAACTTAGCACCAGCTAGCAGCACGTTAGCAGCCTTCGTCCCTTCGGTTCCTTTCGTGACCCACATTTCATTTCCATCCGGTTCTTGTCCAGTTGTGTTGTCGTCTAACTCGGACTAGGACGTCACAAGCTTGAATTTACCAAAACTACTAACTATTATCAAGGCTGTCTCTATTTTTAAGGCAATATTCTGAGAGTAAAAATTGCGAATTCGAACAGGATCTGTTATCTTCTCTGGTTCAAGGCTTTTCTTCATTTTATGGCGCTTTAAAAAAAAGAAATGAAAATGTGCAACAGCGCCACCATCTGGTCTGGAGTGTGACCTGGAGCTGATGCCGTTCACTAACAGATCTTACGTCATACCTGAAAAATGGATTCGGTAAAGACAGCTTCCGTGTTTTAGTTAAAAAACTGAAACAACAGGTCATATTTGGAGAGGTCTAAAACTGAAGATACCTGCTGCATTTATTGTTAAGGACAAATATTGTTTTTGTTGTAGAACCTGGATTTTTTTATTATCATTATTCTTTGCCACTTTAACAAAAATAGTAAGTGATTATTAAGGCACCTAAAAGGCATACTTTATTAGCCTAAAGTACACTGAGATGTAATTTAAAACATACTGAAATTAATAATTTAAAGTAAGCGTTAAGTGAATTTTATAAAATTCTATTTTGAGTATATATTTTAAACTATACACAAAATATCTTTAAAAGATATTTTAAACATATTTAAAATATATTTTGAATGTACACTTGAGCAAGTGTATATTTGCACTTGGGCAAATACATGTTTTGTTCACTTAGAATATACTTTTATTTAATATATTTCTTAAAAGTGTATTTTGGTACAATTATATTTAAGTGTGTTGAAAGTTATGACGTCAAAATTGGTACAAGTATACTTTTAATATACTTTGTATATATTTATAGGTAGTACACTTAATACTTAATATACTTAAAATATACTTACACAAATGTAAGTATATTTGAAACAAAGGCTACTGATGTATATTTTTTCACTAGGGATAATAAATAATGAAATTAAAATATAAAAGTCAATTTATTTTAGGCCCTTTTTCACTGATACACAAAAATATAGATTAGTTACAGACTGGCATTTACTGGCCAGTATTTCTGTTAATGGTGATTTTCCACTAATATTTATATAATCATGACATTTAAAGTTAACACATCAGACCAATAAACATTTTATAATACAGAAAGGTGAGTGCTTAATTTCTGCATAAAGATTGTTATTTTCAAAAACTACCTTTAACCTGACCAATGAGCCTCATCAGAAATCATATTCTAATCGATTCACTGTGGCTGGGTAAATTCACATACCAACGTTTCTGAAGATCCAGCTGCTCCTCGTGTTTCTCAGCAGAAACTGAATCAAAAGCCAGCAGCGACAGCAGCCTGGACCGTCCGTTCATCTCTGCCCGACCCAGCAGGGAAGCTTTGGGCTGTGGGAGGAAGCCGGAGTACCTGGAGAAAACCCACGCATGCACACGGAGAGAAAACTGCAGCAAGACGGTCCTGGGACTTAAACCCAGGACCGTCTTGCTGCAAGGCATGGATCCTTTTCCTGTTTTCCAGATAAGCAGTATTGTTCTAGATCTTTTTGGTGCTTAAACACTGAGTTCCAGTTTTATTTGGAACTGGGAAATTGTGATTTCCCAGTTAGAAAATCCAACTGGAACACCCTCAGAAGACAGATTTCTACAGCAGCAGATTAGGGCCATTGTAGATAGAAAAGGAAAGGAGTAAATTTCTGCCAAAAACACTCTAAAAATAATTTACTTCAAAAGTTTTTCTGCTGATATTGTGATATTTTCTTCTGACTGCTTTGCTTTGCTGTGACATTTTACTCACTGTTTATTCAATCTCTTGTTTTCTGTTGCTTCACATTTTTAACTCCTGCTTATGTTTTTAGTCATTTTAATCTGTATGATTTCTTTTGCCTTCTTCCTTCACATCCTCCAGACGTAACTCTATGTTTCCCTCCAGAGTTACGACATTTTTCTTGTGTTTCTTCTTTACATTCTTCTAATTTGTGATCTTCACCACATTTTGGACATCTCTGCTTTCCTTTACAAACTGCTGCTATGTGTCCTTTATGACCTTTGACATTTGAAACAAGGAAGTGGTGGAAGGACAAGAGGCCTGACCTGAAAACTGAGATACCCTATTTTGATGTTTTTTGGCAACTCTTTTTCTTCAAACTCAATGAGGATTCACAAACTTACTACTTTTTCTCCATTAATTGTTTTTGACAATTTCTTCAAGTTATTCACTTTTGCAACAATATTTTTATTAATTTGATCAAGATCTTCATCTAGAGGGATTCCATAAATCACTCCTCTATTTTTTTTATCTTCTCCCATGATTATTTTCTCCAACACAGTTGTTTTTGTTTGTTTGTTTGTTTTTGTTTTGTTTTTTTTTACAAATATTGTCCAAATTTAAAGCCTTATTCTTTTGTTATTAATTTTTACAAACTACAAATAGGTTTCCATCTCTCAAAATCTCCAATTTTCTTTTTAATTTCTCTTGACACCACAATGGGGTTGATGTTATCCTGCTCTTCCTCGTTTTTAAGTTTTAATATTATTTTAAATTCCTCCCTCACAACTTTCCTCCTAACCATCCTTCCTTCTTCCGAACTACTTCCTTCCAGTTCTCGTTGATCGCCCTGAGTGCCGCCCATTCCTTTTCCTTCACCTGTTTTATTTCTTCCTCTCCCCACCCTTCAAAATCCGTTGTTACGGAGTGAAGCTTCTTCAATCAAGAAGGAGGCTCGGACGTCTTTTCTTGAACATTTCTGTTCAGTTTTTATTGAGGAGAAAACGGCGACAGCTGTTCGTTACCTAGCAACCAAAATCAACAGAAGCAAGACTGACAAAAGACAGAACCACATCCTGTTAAGCATTCTTCAAAATAAAAGACTTCCTCTATCCAAATAAATCATGCCTCGCGCTTAAATGTTTCACTTCAGCTTTTGTAATTATATACAATCATGTTAAACTCAATTAATAATAATCATCATGTTTTAAGCTTAACATATAACATAAATGTAAATCAGTCACTTATCATGCAAATTATACTTAACAACAAATGACTGTAAAGAAGTCACAACATCCATGTCTTTCTCATTTCCTGTCTCCATTTCCACCCGAACTATTCACATACCAGTTTATGCCCAAATCCGCCACGTCTCTTTGTGTTTTGTTTGTTTTTCCCGCGCCGCTCCGGCCTTCCCTTCACTTCCGCTCGCCAAGCAGTCGGAGGGGGCAGCAGCTTTGTGTGACTCGGACTGTTTGGACCACATACAGACGCCCAGCAGCTGCAGCTCGGTGTTGCCACAACAGAAGGCGACAGTTAGTGGCAGCTTGGACCTGCTTTGTCCTTCAGCTAACCTCTGGAAGCTAACCACTGGAAGCTAACCACTGGAAGCTAACCTCTGGAAGCTAACCTCTGGAAGCTAACCACTGGAAGCTAACATTTTCCTCCATGGCGTGATCAATTCAAACGGTTTTTCTGATCAGATCTCTCTGCAGTCTGGTTTTAATATCAGTTTCAGTTCTGTAGACTGGTTCCTGTGTAAGAAAATACACAAGCACAACTCTACGTTTGAACATCTGAGGGCTTTATTTTTCTTGTGTATAAACAGTTTGAAAGTAAAAATAATATTTAAGAAACAAAATGGTTCCATTTGTCTCGGTGTCTACATAACTCACCCATTATTTACCTCGTCACAAAGGGCTTAAGTCATCATTATCAAGTCTTTCTTAGTAAATCTATGTCCGTCTTCTGGAAAATATAAATGTCCCAGAAATTAGCTTTCCAACACACAACATACCACAATGATTTTAGGGTTACAACACATTTTAAAGCCACTTGGCTCTAGAAATAACTTCATTTATAAAAATGTCAATTGAGAAAACTTATGGGATTTGTTAATAGTGCTCAGGGAACAGGCTAACCCCAGTTAGCAATACAAGTGAATCAGAACATATTTGTCTACAGATAAATGCTGTACATTGTTTTATCAGCTACTGTTTCATTGAGTAGAACCAATCAGAAAAGCACAAAAGTGGTCATTTCTTCATCTTTCTGTTTGTTTTACTTGAACGGCAGCCATATTGAATTTGAACTCAGGGACTTTCTGGTTTCCAGGTTGGAATCTGAACTCCGTGCAGGTTTTCCCCTCCAATTTTTTCTATATGGATCAAGGAAATTCTGACTATCGAATACAAGTTGAACTCAGCCTGAGGCTTACGGATGATCACACTTGTTTGGACCATAGAGGCTTATAATTTGATGCTTTAATAAAATAAAAAAATCACCTGGCTTTCAGCAAACAGCCATACAGTTCAGAAAAAAAAATTGAATGACAGAATTCACAGTTTGAAAAACATGTATTGTATTCAGATTAGTAAAGAAACAACAGTCTGCTAAAAGATTTGGTTTGACAAGAGGCCAAATCATGTCATTTTTACGTTATAAAACGGCATTGGTGTGATAACTACCAAACAGTTCATATCCTCCATCTTGCATTGATTTAGTAACTGTAAACAAACTGTTTTATACACAAATACTAAAATTATGGGGTATCAGTTTATTATCTGAAAACTTTGTTTCCCTTAGTTATCCATCTACTCATTTGCTCTAAGATATGACAGATTAAAATCTCTGATCAAACCAAAATAACTCTAAGAGTAAGTAACCTTTTACTGATTTTGTCTTTTTAGACTATGACTAGGACATATAAAGTTTATTTAAATAATCTGTAGGTTCAAAGCTTCTCTGATTGGTTCTAATGGTGGAACATCTCAACGTACCATTTGATACCCAAAATGTCGGGTGTGAAATTATCAAAATTGCAAAGGTATGAAGTGGCATAACGTTAATCAATAAACAATGAGGTTGATTTGACATGTAAGATCACAGTACTGTAAAACTAACAGCTCCCACAATGTCCTCTCAGTCTTGCTTCGGTTATATCTTTCCTGTGCTGCTTCCAGGGAAGGCAGGGTCGTTGCTCACTTGTATTTTGTCAAAAAAGTTGAAATCAACAACGTAGCGGCAGTTGGAGGAGCTGAACAGCACTGGCATGAACTCGTAGCCCCACAGGATCTCCTGAGGGATGTACGAGGTGCGGCTCTGGCACGTGGCTGCAGTCGACTCCATGGTGCCGTTGAGCGTTATGAGCAGCTCAAAGTTTCGGTTGCTCAGGGTTTCTGGGGTCAGTCCTGCCAATGGGCTCTTCTCATCGATAATGTGATAGAAGGTGAGCGGGAGGATCAGGAACGGACAGTCTCCACTGGTGTCCATGTAGAAATCTACGGAGCTCTGGTGGATCTGCGTCTTCTCTCCTTCTTCTGTCACGTTGGACTTAAACAGCTTTCCGGTGAGCTGGCACTGAATCAGCAGACTCTTCCTCATGTTGGCCACTCTCACCATCAGACACAGCTTGCCTTGGTGCCTGCAGATCACCGCCACCTGACTGAACTTTATCGTTTCTGCTCGCTTCTTGGGTCGGGCCAGTTTGGCCAGAAAGGCACCGGTGACAAAGATCTCAGCCAGACCGGTGATGACGAGCTGAGCCACTAGTGTGAAGATCGCCAGAGGACACTCTTCAGAGATGTACCGGAAACCGTAACCTATGGTGGTCTGCGACTCCAGAGAGAACAGGAAGGCTCCGGTGAGAGTATTCACATTCACCACGCAGGGTGTGTGGGTAGAATTGTGCCAACTGTCAAAATCTCCGTTCCCCATGCCGATGAAGAAAAAGAAGACTCCAAAGATGAACCAGGTCATGACGAAGGTGGAGGCAAACAGAGTGAGCTTGTAGCGCCACTTCATGTCCACCACCGTCGTCCAGATGTCGTGCAGGTAGAGCTTGACCATTCCTTCCACGTTGTCGATCTGAACATTGTTGTGACCGTCTTTAGACACGATCCTTCGCTGGACCTCTGACTTCCTGTTGACCATGATGCTTTGCTTCAACAGGAACTGGCTGTAACTGCACAGGTTTTATTTGCGCACTGCAGATTAAAGAGCTGGCAACAGACACAAACAGAAATAAGATTATTATTCTCATAAAGCTGTTTTTCTGTAATTGCCAAAGTGTTCAGTCAATCATTTCTATATGTTTTTGCTTCCACAGATCCAGACTCTCTTCTAATGTTTGAAAGTCTTAGTTAAATTAATTGTGACTTTATGCAGGGATTGAAAGATTTCCTGTCTCCAGTCTGTGGACTGTTCAGTGAGTGCTGAGCTAAATCAGTTATTGAAGGAACACCGTCAGGAAACCTCGACAGTTACTGACCAGATCAGAATGCAGGAAAGCAAAAACATATGGAGACATTTGGAGTGATTTAAAATGTTTGTATTGTGATGTAAGGGATTAAACAATAATCCAACAACTAAACAAAGTGAAATCACCAAACTATTTACAGCTGTTTAATCCACAGGGTTTAATGGCAGAGGTCATCCGTCCATCACTGAGCCTGATTTAAAGGTAGCCTAACATGAGCACCGTCAGACTGAAGCTAAGCTAATGCAGTCAGAAAGGCCTGGATGGGATTCAGAAACTCTTCCATGCATTTATGTACCAAGCAAAAAACGACTTTACACACCTTGACTAAAATATTAACCAGCTTGTAGCCTTAAACAGTTTCCATCTAAGGTTCACATGTTAAAAATTAACAAATGATATTAGAGACCAATAAGCGAGTCATTGGTGTGTCGTAAACAGAATTCGTTAACTGAAGGTCAGTCAGAAAAAACATGAAACTGCTGCGGATTAAATAATAGCTGCATGTTTCATCAGAGTAACAAAGTCAAAACAAACCCAGATCATCATTCCTCCACCACCGTGCTTGAAACATAAATTCTGCTTTCTTTAATTTTAGTTTTTTTTAATTGGCTCTAGTGGCCTTTATTTGATAGTTAGTTGACAGGAAAGTGGGTAATGAGAGAGGGGGAAGACAGGAATTGAGCCTGCGACGGCCACGTCGAGGACTGAGGCCTCCATATGTGGACTGTGCTTAACCCCTGTGCCACCACAGCACCCCAGTTTGTTTTTATCTTAAAGTAAACTTGAGTTACGCAGCAGAACAATCATTAAAAGCACAAATCCAACTATGAATGGATAAAAAAACAACAGAATGAAGACTATGGTGTTTCCTAGTCAAAGTAACGAGTTATGATGGGGATGTCATGGCTTAAAGACCCTCCATAGTGGCTGAATAGAGCAATTCTGCAAACAAACGATTTAAAATTCCTCCTCAGTGATGTTACAGACTCTTACTGGTCCATTATTTTCTCACTTGGTTTGGAAGTTTCTTCACTGTAAAAACACAAAATATTAAATATTTTTGGTCTAGTTGGTCAAGTTCACTTGAAATGAGACAAAACTAATTAAACTTTTCAGAAAGATAGGAAGGAGCTTGTTTTTAATCAGTAATTCTTAATATTGATAAAAAGTTTGAATTAAACTGGCAAATAATTTATTAATAATGTGACATTTTCCCAGGTTAAGTGAAATAATCTGCCAGTGGAACTGGAACTTTTTCAGTCAAATGAAGGAATTATTGACTTAAAATAAACCTCTTTATCTTCCTGAAAAGTTGCCTGTATGTTTGTTTTGTCTTATTTCAAGTGAACTAAGATATTTGCACTAGAAACTAGAGAAAATAAATACTTGGTAGGATTTTGTGTTTTTTCAGTGTTCTCCTTAATAATTGAAGCCATAATTTGAAAACAGTATTTTGTCTTTTTTCACTTTATGTTTGTCTGATATCAAATTTTGTTTGATGGCCTGAAAGATGGAAGAGTGACAAAAAATATTGAAAACATAAGAAACATAAAATACTGTTTAGTACTGCTATATAAGTACCGATTCTTTATTTTGATCCAAGTTTGTCAGTATCACCAAACTGAATGTTATTCCACAGAATTATTAGAAATAAAATGAGTTCATGTGTCCTGAAGTTATCACATGTAACCATATTTAGACACATTTCCTCAGGAGTAGATGAAGGGTAGCCATGTTAATTCATAATCTTACATGAATGCGTTGCACTCACCTCTGAAAAGCTCGTCCTCATAAATGTGAAAGCTGAGTCTGAGCTGAAGTTCAGTGTCTTCTTTCTCCGTTTGTTGTGAGATCTGAACTTTGGCACAATGAGGAACGGAGCACAGACAAAGCCGAGCGTAATCTGTGATCCGTTTCCCTCCCCTCACCTGTCCACAGGTAGGAACAACAAGGTGACCGTCTGACGTTTGTTTCCTTCTTTTACGGTTGTTGTTGCTTCACACAAGCCCAGATTTACGGCTGTCAGAGCGTCTGAAGGACACGATGAACTTTGTGACAGACAGAAGGTCAAACTACCGGAGGAACACATGATGTGAATTATCTGATAAATTCTTTAAATCTCTATAAATATGATCTCAACATTTTGACACCTGGAGGTTGGAAAATAATCCTGAGACCCAATGATTGTAGTTGGTAATTTATTTAATCAAGAAAATGCTACGAATTGACTGGTATTAATAAATAAAATGTATTTGTTGTTAATGTGTTATTTTGGACGCCTCTGTAAAAGTTTAAATTTGTGGTTAAAAGTCATTTTGATCAGATTTAGAGCATCGATTTGCTTCTCATTCTCTACAGGTGTTTTTTCTAACCTGGAGTAACTTTAGCAAACAACAGGAGGACATTTTTACTAATAAATTCAGAAAATGTGGTTTATGTTTGTCTCCAACCCCCATTACTCTGATACCCCAAAAATAAGCCTACTCAATCTGAATAAACCTGATTAGTGCTGAAACTTGTTAAATAACTATACTACTGATGATTCAGGCAACTAATTGGATAAAAATTTGACATTCACTCTTTATTTAAACACTTTAACCCTTTTTAAACAATATTAGAAATACATTAAAAGATGTAAATAAATAATTCAATTCCTTTTTTAAATAGCAAAATAAAAATATTACCAAAAAATGCAATAACATTTTTTAGTGTACACTTGATTTTTGTAGATTAATTAATTAATTTATTTTTCATTAACTGATTAATAATTGATAGCAAAAGGTGATTAATTGGAGGTTTTAATGAATTCTGGGTAAAACGCCTTTACAGACAAATGTGTTTTTGTTTTTTCTTAAAAGCAAATATATACATTTGTACAGTTTTGGCTTAATTACGGTTCTGAGTGTGTTATTCTTCAGCAAATGGCCTTTTTTGAGTTTATACTCCAGTTAACGATTAATTGATTACTAAATTAGTTGATGATATTTTTCAATAATCGATTAATAATCTCATGCATGAGCCTAATAAATTAAAATGACTCTCAGTGAAAATCCAGTTTGGTCACCGCTGAAGCCGAGGAGCAAAGGAAGGAAGTTGTAGATAATTGTGTTAAATGACCTAAAAAACGCCAAAGTTTGTCGTAATGAGACGAGATGTAAACGTGTGAAAACCTGAACAGAACTGGAGTTAAACGGGACTCAGTCAGCTGAACGTTTTCTGTTCATGAAATGTTTGGAAAAACTGTTTTTTCTTTTTGCAACAAAGTGAATGATTACTGGAAATAAGCAGCAGCAGGGCTGAAGGACAAAATACCTGTGGTCTAAACAAAGTCTAATGCAGGATTCTGCTGGTGGCTGTTTGGTGTTTTGTGAAGAACAGGACACATTAACTTATTAAACAAACACTTAAATGAAATGTTAAAGAATGAGAAGAATCAAAATGAAGCTAAAAACAAATGTCCACTAGAGGTTTGTTGTAAAAAATTAAGAATTCTGTTTATTAGAGGAAACAGAAGCAGTGAAGTTTGTTTAAGTGAATTAAACACGTTTCAGTGCAGAGAAGAAGTGACGTTTCCTGAGTGACCGACCTTGGATCCTCAGCTTTATCATTAACTTCATTTCCACATTCCTGAGAGCCGAGAGATCGTCGCTTATCGTTTCTTTACTGGGGTACAAAATGAACGGGGAAATCTCATTCTGATGCATTCTTGTCTGCAAATGTTGATGTTGGCAACTGAAATGAGCGAAAGGAGATTTTCCAGAAATCACCAACTGGATGCAGTTTTTACAGGTTTCCTTCTTTGCACAAGAACTTTATGATTCAGTTTAACGTGTTTATTTTAGGTGACGCCCAACGCTTTATTTCAACAGTAACATGTCAAAATATTCAAAATAATTAAAATTACATTAAATAAGAATAACTGCATGTGATAAAAGAAATTTAAACATCTACAAAACAAGAGCCTCCATTCTTTATCTGCAGAAATATTTGATAAACTTCCTTTAATGTTTCTCTAACATGTTTAGATAGAATGTTTGAAACGAACATGCATGTTATTTTAAACCTTATGTCTTCTTTTTTCCCCTAAGATTAATTCAGAAACAAACAATCTTCCAGTTTTTGTTTGTTTTACCAACATGATCTGTTCTTGGTAGTGAAGTCACAGTGATCTTTAAAAATAAAACACATAAAATTTGACCCTGTAACTTTGAATAAAATTACATCACAATAATATGAAATCAAATAATACTGAAAATAATGAAGTGAAACAAAATTGTAAATAACTTGAAATAAAATTAATCAAAATGAAATAAAGGAGCTGAACAGCGCCCTCTGCTGTGTAAACGCGGTTCATTCAGCGATTAATTTTATTTGTGTAAATTTATTACAAACTTGGAGTCAAGTGGTGGCAGACCTGAACTTTATATTTTTTATGTGACAATAAAAAAGCTTTTTTCTTCTTTGCAGTCTTTTTAATTTAACTGAATCTTTTTTTATGTAACTGAATATGAGTGCGTGTCACAGCCACCAAACACAAAAACGGCTTTTGAAAAACATTTCCGTTTTAAAATGCGCTTCTTCCGGTTTCCAGTTACATACAGACATGTGAATTTTCTCACTGAAAAGGTCACAGTAAATGCTTAATCGTGTCTTCAATGTGTGTAACAATATGTGCATGTAAACTTCCGACCGGCGTTGCATTAGTTTCAATCCATTATTATTTATGCTTTTATTTAGAAAATTTGACCGAGTCGTTCAAATCGGCGGAAATCGCAGTCTTATTTTGAAAGATTTACCCGGATACCGAGTTGTTGTTCTTATTAATTTCTCATTCAGAAGCAAGCCAAATAAATGTAACGCTATTGCTTTTGGTTGGCAGCATCGAAAACAAGTTTGTGACGTCAGCCGCCGTTCGGCGGTCCGCTCAGCTCGGAGATGAGCGTCACTCTGGATATCAAGCTGAAAAGAGCCAACAAAGTCTATCATGAGGGGGTAAGAGGCCCACTGACACGAACATGCCCAGCTAATGTTAGCCTCCCTCTGTTTTCTCTCCAGAAACATTGATAAAGCCATTGACTAGCTGGCATAGACAGTTAGCTTGCTGCTTTAGCAACAAGCTAATTCGTAGTCACATGACCAGCAGCTGCTTCCGTGGTGGTGTGACGAATTTGGTCACCACTTAAATTCTGTGCTCGATTATCATTTCTTTACATGACAATAAATAAGAAATATAATTTTAAATCTTCATGACAACATAAATAAAAATATAATTTTCTACTTATTTGTTTTGAGCGCCATAGAAACCCGGTGCGGTTAGTTAGCTTGGTGTGACTCTTCGGCGTTTGCGAACCTAAAACGGCCGCTTATGCTGTTCAAAATGTTTATTAAAATTAAACTTATCTAGATAAATGATGGTAATTGATAAAAGTGATAAGAACTATTTATTATTTCCTTATGTTACTGTAAGGCTGCAGCTCACAAAAACAAATCCTGCTTTTAAAAACGTTCTTTTTTAATCTTTCAGATGCCAGTCATAAAAAAATGTGATTTATGTCATTAATCTGCTCACAGTAACTATTTTCAAATGTATTGGTATTTATTGATCACTTTATTAAACAAAAAGTGGAGCAAATGATAAAACTGTCAATCCCAACAATATGGACAGTTTTAGATTTTAAACATTAATTGAAATTTATTGTGGGAACAGTAAATCTAAATCTTTATAAGAATTTTATCACTATAAATTAAAAAAAAATTTGTATAGTTTTGCGTTAATTTCTGCTATGTTCTTTCAGCAAATGGCTTTTATTGAGTCTCTTCTCCAGTTAATGATTAGTCAATTACTGGACTAGTTTATTCCAATAATCGATTAATTGTAATAAATTGTATGAGCTCAAAGGCTGATGATCAATATCCGTGAGCTGATTCTGCAGCTGACTCTGGTCTGTTTCAGGAAACGGTGGCCGGCGTCGTGACGTTGTGCTGCAAGGAGCCGCTGCAGCACAACGGCATCGCGCTCAGCATGGACGGCATCGTCAACCTGCAGCTCAGCTCCAAGAGCGTCGGCGTCTTCGAGGCGTTCTACAACTCCGTCAAGGTGGGATCCGCCGGACCGGAATCTAGACTGGACTCCAGACCGCTCTGCTTCTCTGGAGTTCAGAAACTCCAATAATTTAAATAAGTTTAAATTATTGGTAATCATCATGATTACTTGATTAATCGGATAGAAAATGAGGCATATCTGCAGATTTTTCTTTGAATAATCAAGTGAAGCTAAAACTGACCTGAAGTTTTTGGTTGAATGTTTTTACGGAAAATGTTTTTCTCATCTGTTTTTAGTTTTTGTTCTTTCAGCAAATGGCCTTTTTATTCTTCCAGTTGACGAAATCAGTTGCCGATTATTTCAATAATCGATCAATCTGATTGTCATTGATGGTTTGGTAAATGAAGCATTAATTCAGATTTACTCACCAAACTTGGAGAATAATTAATTCAAAGTCTGTCTGCTGCAATACTCTGTCGGCTAATCCGTGAAATGTCTGCCGGTTAATCTGCAGCCAATCCCGCTGATCAGCAGCAGCATCGAAGTAGCCAAGGCCGGGAAAATCCCAGGAGGGAAAACGGAAATCCCGTTTGAGTTTCCGCTCATCAGCAAAGGCAACAAAGTTCTGTATGAGACGTACCACGGCGTCTTCGTCAACATCCAGGTTCAGCTCGATGTTAGCCTGTCTGCTAACGTTCTCGTATTGTTTGCTAACCAGAGTCTGAAAGAGATTCAGGTGTGAAAAGGTTCAGGCTGAGCAGTTTGTGTTCCAACTTTCTGACTTTTCCCTGTTTGCTGCTCAGTACACGCTGCGCTGCGACCTGAAGCGCCCCCTGCTGGCCAAAGACCTGAGCAGGAGCTGCGAGTTCATCGTTCACAGTCAGGTGAACATCAGCAAAGC